CCATGATCAAGTCGGTGGTCCTTCTTGTTTCAGGGATCCATGAAGCAGCAGGTGAATCTCCCTCCAGTAACATCTCCCACTGCACAGGAGGGCAACGGACATAAAACAGGCCCCATGGCACATGCCATGGAGTCCTTCAACCCTTTGCCATCCTAAAAACCCTAAATGCTGCCTAAGACCCATGAGTCAGTGCTGTTAGTAGTGCCTTCCCATGGCTCTCCAGGGTTTCTTGACTCTGGGTTGAACTTGGGGTCTTCTGGGTACCAGGTGATTGGGAACTGCATCCCATTCTCTAGCCTTCATTCATTGCATGTTTTGATTATCCTTGAAAACAAAGTCACATCCAGCATGCCAGCCTGCTGACTACAAGAGACTGAGACCCTAATTCCCTCTGTGGATCTCTGAGAAGGGCCTGTCCCAGAGGAAATGGAGCATAGGCATCTGGGCAGCCTTTTACCGTAGTTGCAAAGAGGCATCACTGCGATGCCCAGCAAAAACTCAGAGCGAAGGAAGCGGCTGCGGAAATTTGGGAGAAATGACCTGTTTCTACTGCTTGAGACTATACCTTTCTTCTGCCCGATGGCAGGGCTGGCTATGTGTGCCCACCTCCCTTGCCCTACCAGTGTGAAATCAGATATAGTGAACCCAGCTGTGAGTGGGAAAAGGAAGAGAGGTTTGTCAGACATGAAAGAGGCACCCAGCATTCAGCAAGAGAGAACTGGAGCCCCAGGTGGGATTCAGCTGATTCGGACCGGTTTGAGCGAACCGATTGTTAAATGGGTTGAATCCTACCACTGACTGGAGCTCTATAGATGGAGGCACCCTGGGAACCTCTGGGAAGCTTTTTGTCAAGCAGGAGGAGGGAGGGTCATTTGGAGGGAGAACATTTACCTTTTCCCTGTTCCACTCGTTGCCTGTGTCTCCCTGTTCCTACGATGTTCTCATTAGACTTCATCTGTGTGGAAAGACAAAACTCCTGTTAGATATGCAAGGGCTTGGAGAAATCAATTGATTGGTTGATTGGTAGATAGATAGATAGATAGATAGATAGATAGATAGATAGATAGATAGATAGATAGATAGATAGATAGATAGATATTGATTGATTGATTTTCAACTCTAACCACTGGCTGTCATGCTAGATATGCGGCCCCCTAGGATTGCAGAGCTGCAATTGTCTAGCTTAATCTTTTGATTAAAAGAATAGAATAATAATTCACCCATGGTGTTGATCAGGAATCTGGTGGATTTGATGATTGCCTGAAGGGAACATATGTTGAAATGGCAAGGCTAAAATCCAGGCCTATGCAGGCCTTCGTGGCCATGGAAAATCCCAAAGGAAAAGACTAGCCTGTGGATTAGGCTTGTGACCAAAAGCACGGAAGGCGTGCTTGACTATTTTTATAATTTCTGTATTTCTATATCATCTGTTGCATGCAAGCTTCCTCTTATGTCACCAAGCAGAAGCAAAGAAATGTGTAAATATCTGCCTCAGCCTGTGTTTGGGATTTCTTCACCTTTAGGGAGGACCAGGGGTGAAATCCTCCCAGTTCGGCCAAACTGGAAGGGACGATTGTCGTTGGTTCTGCAAACCAGTAGTAAAATAAAAGCTTCCTAGGATAGCATGGCTCAGCTGTGAGCCGCACAATTGTCGGAAACCTTTTCCCTGCTTTTAAAAGCATTTTTCCTCCCTATCTGCCTGAACGAGCAGGTAGAACCAGTTCGGGGGCGTGGCCAGTCAAGTTACTATCTACTCGTCCGAACCAGTCCAAACCGGTAGGAACCCACCTCTGCCTCCCACCAGTCGACAAAGCCAGAAATGTTTGAGAATGTGTGCGCTCCTGCTACTGAACCGGTAGTGAAGAAAATAGAATACCATTGGTTGGCTCCCGCTTTCAACGATCGAACGGAGAAGCGAAGAGGCAGGAGAGACNCGGGATTTGCAAATTGAGGTTGAGCGACTGTGGAAAAAGAAATCATGTGTTGTCCCAATTGTAATTGGAGCCCTTGGAGCAATACCTAAAGGGCTCGCTCGCTATTTGGAAATTCTAAATTTACCTGACTTGAACATTTACAAAAAACCACTCTACTTGGCAAAACTTATATCCTCCGACATTACCTTAACAGCTCCTAAGTCCTTGTTACGACTCAAGCTGTTGAGCTACCAACCAGCCCCAAAGGCTGTGAATCTCACCAAAGATTAACCACATAATAATAATAAAATGAAACATGTAACAGTGATACCCATTGTCATTGGGGCACTTGGTACCATGTCCAAGAATTTGGTACATCAACAAATTGTAGCTTCTTGCGATAACACCAGTGGAACTGCAAAAAACTGTGCTACTCGGAACATCTTATATTTTAAGAAGATACTTGGTTGATACCGAGGATGCTGGCAGCAACCCGTATCAATCATTAGCACCAGTCACTGGTATTTGTGATGCATTTTTGAATGTTCAGTTGACTGAGTTTCATGTTTAATTAATAAAGCAAAACATACACATAAATAATATATACCCACAGTTTACTGGATGGATGGCATAGGGAATAAAGCTGTTACAGAATCTGCTTGTCCTCCTAGAAATATTTTGAAATCTGATCCCTGGGGGGAGCAACAGAAACAAACCATCAAGTGGGAATGTCATAAAATACAGTCGATGCAAAGCAAGAAGACTAACCGTAAAATAAAAATCGCCGCTTGTGAAAGCATTGGTTTCTATGGAGAATTCAGCTCTCCCCTGAGCGTCCGTCACTTGATTCAGCCGCTGGTGATTTGTCAGTATAAAAATCTGCACTGTTCCATTGTTGATCGGTACGTCGTTGATGTCTACCAGCTTCACCTGCACATGAAAAACTGCTACATGAACCCAACTGGTTGCGGCCTGAATATTTCACAATTTACCAATGCAATTTTTATTCTGCTTTTCCTTCAGGGACGCCAAGCTTTCACATCAAGCCATCCTAATTTTTCCCCATCACTACAACTCTGTGAAAAAGCGGAGACTAGCAGGAGAGACTTGGGCCTGGGAGTAGCTTTTGGGGCTGCGGCTGAGAAAGAAAGGGGACAATTTCTAAACCCAAACAAGGAGTCGCGGAGAGATGGGGTTACATCTTGGTTTGATAAACTGACTCTTCATTAGGGAAAAAGGGTTTTGGGAGTTTCAAAGCAGAGCAGCTGCAGGGGATGATAGCCATAGCACTTCTATACTGCCCCATAGTGCTTTACATACTCTCTGGACATTATACAATGTCAGCATTTTGCCCCCAACCATCTGGGTCTTCAGCTGCTGGCTAACTTATCACCAGCAGTTTGATGTCCTGAGTGGCTCGATGTTAACTCAGCCTTCCATCCTTCCAAAGTGGGCAAAATGAGGACCCAGATGGCAATATGCTGACTCTGTAAACCTTAGAGAAGGCTGTAAAGCACTTTGAAGTGGTATATAAGCCTAAGTTCTATTGCTATTGCACTGAGGCATGATTGGGACTTTGTGGTGGCTGCCATCTTGACTTTTTAGGGTCACCACCATTATTTCCATGAATACCCCTGCTTAATAATCCTGGAGGGGGGGCAGGGAGCTGAGGCTCTGAGTTTATGTCTGAAACAGGGAAAATATAATATTCTGCCTTTTTAATATTTCCCAGAATATTTCACTCTTCTAGGAGAAGGGTGGGTGCAAACTTTCTATAATCCCTCCTTTGATCCATAAAAGTGTGAGTTGAATGCTTTTTCTGGCCCAAGGTTAGGAATTGATCTGATCACGGAGAAAGACGCTGGAAACACGGAGGCTGCTTGGAAAGATGGTTTAATGGTGGACAGGATCACATGGTTTTTTTTGGGTCCTGAGCAAATGAGCACATGGGTGAGTGAAAGAGAAAGATTTATACCCTCTCTTGGGCTTTGGATTTGAGTTTCCTGTTCTTGTGGCAAGGGCAGGGGTGCGATTCAGCCAGTTTGGACCCGTTTGGGCGAACCAGCAGGGGAGCGAACCGGTTCGGTCCGCTGATCAGGTGGGCCTGGGCCCACGGACCCCTGCGCTTTAATTACCTATATCCTCTCAGCTGATTTGCATGGCAGAGCGGATTGCTGCACCTCAACTATGTTACTCCCCAGAAGTAATGTGAAAGGTAAGTTTTGCCCGCGCATCAGGCACAGGCATGCGCAGAGCACACGATCACTGAACTGGTTGTTAAACCTGCAGGATCTCACACTGGGGAAGGGCCTGTATTCTGATTGGTTGTAGACTCCCATGTGGCCATGTGGGATCATGGGTAAAGTTTGATCGACCCTTTGGGCTGATACAATGATGGGGCTTTATTTGTGGCTGAATGGCTTTGCCCTGAAGGATAATCCCATCATCCTGGAGCTGAGGTCTTTTATCCCTCCCTCCCTCCCTCCCTCCCTCCCTCCC